TGGGGGTCCTGCCCACCCACCCCGTGCCTCAGTTTCCCTCCCCGGGGCGGGGGGGGGCTGTGGTCACTCCACGCCTTGGCCCCAGGCACAGTACAGACCCCCGGGTGGGGGCGAGAGGTTATGTGGCCCCACACAGGGTGGGGTGGGCCCCCCCAGGCACCTGTCCACGCTTGCACACGCGTGTGCAACACGCACACGTCTGTCCTGTGCGAGCACAGACCTCTGTGCCCGGCTGTGCCCCTGCCATGGGGTGACAGCCCCCCCAGGGCCCGGGCAGGCTCTCACATGTGTGCCCCCCCCACGGACATGGATCAGTCCTGGGACATGCTTACACACGCGGAAGGGGGGGCAGTGCACACGCTTGTGAACCATGCACGCTTGTGTGCAGCGTGCACACCCACATGCGTGTGCGCCCCCACGCGTGTGCACAGCCGTGCTCGCTTGTGCTGGGGGGTGTCTGTGGGTCTTGGCCAGGGGACCCCACATGGGTGGGTGACCCCCAGCCATGTCCCTGGTGAACGGGGGGGGGGGGTCACCCCTGGCACCCCCAGCCAGGACCTGGGGATGGACACCCCAAGCTGCAGCAGAGCCTGGATTTGGGGGGACACCGGGGTGGGGAGCCAGGGGGACATGGGGCCACCCTGGGGATGGGGTGGGACGAGGACCCAGGGAGGGGGACAGGGACTGGGGGGGGCCAGGGCATGGGGGCGGCTGCGGGTGATTCATTTTTGCACGTTGACATCAGGCCCGAGGTTTCCCAGCCGGCGCCGCCTCCAGCCCAGGGGCCCTGGGGACGAGTGCTGACCCCGGGGCCGTGTCAGACCGGGGGGTCCTGTGGCCGGGGGGGAGCCCCAGGACAGGCAGGATCTGTCCCTGGGCCCCATCGGGGGCTTTGGACGCCCTCACTGCATCCGCATGCGTGTCCCCTGGGGGACCGGGATCTGGGGGGGCTGCCGTAAAGCCGCAGCAGGCGCTGACCCCTGTCCCCCAGCAGCCCTATGTGCCGCCGGCGCAGCCACTGGGCCCCCCCAGCCCCAGCCCCGCCGGGGGGGCCACGGATCAGCTCAGCAAGACCAACCTCTACATCCGGGGGCTGCACCCTGGCACCACAGACCAGGACCTCGTCAAGCTCTGCCAGCCGTGAGTGGGGCTGAGACAACCCCCCGGGGCGCTGGGGTCCCTGCTGCCCCCAGCCCAGGGCCCCCCCACGGGGGGGCTGGGGGCCCTGCCAGGCACTGACTCCCCCTTCCCCCCCAGCTACGGGAAGATTGTCTCCACCAAAGCCATCCTGGACAAGACGACCAACAAGTGCAAAGGTTGGAGGGGCCGCGGGGTCGAGGGGGGGGGCTGGGGGGGCTCTGAGGGCCCCTCTCACCCCTGGCCCCCCATCCCCAGGCTACGGCTTTGTTGACTTCGACAGCCCCACGGCGGCCCAGAAGGCCGTGACGGCGCTGAAGGCCAGTGGGGTGCAGGCCCAGATGGCCAAGGTATGGCATGGCCCTTCAGGCCCGCCCCCCCCATGACACCCAGAGCCCCTGGGGACCCCTGCCGTGCACCAGGGGGCCTAGCCGGCCCCCTAACCCCCCCCCTCCCCCCAGCAACAGGAGCAGGACCCCACCAACCTCTACATCTCGAACCTGCCGCTGGGGGTGGACGAGCAGGAGCTGGAGGCGCTGCTGAAGCCCTTCGGGCAGGTGGTCTCGACCCGCATCCTGCGGGACCCCCACGGGGCCAGCCGCGGCGTGGGCTTCGCACGGTACGGCGTGGGGGGGCCAAGGGGGCTCTGCTGCGGGCCGAGGGGTGCATGGGGCAACGCATGGGGCT